CTCTATAATGATCAAATTTCGTCATTTTGTACAACATTCTCCCAACTTTTAGTCCAGAAATTCAAAATTCATGCGTAATCTCTTTCCCTTCCTCCTTATTCCTAAGAGCACTGAGACCCTATCTTTTTACTTACCAACCTTACATTTTTTTTTTCCCTCAATTTTACAAAGTTCACTTTTTTTATTTTGCCAATTATATAAACATATATATTGTTGTGGATTAACGAGTAGTTTATTTTAAGGCGAAGATTGTAAGGCGAAGAGAACATAAATAATTAAAAAAAATATTTTTGATCCACTGGTTCGAAATAATTCATAAAGGTACTTGTTGACTGTAAATTTTTCTCGTGTACAACCAAAAGTTTTTAAATTAGTAAAATAAAAATAAAAAAAAAAAGGCGTTAGCAAGTTCGAATTTAGATAAGACGAATTGTATCGAAACAGAAGTTTCGACCTAATGCCGGCGAGTTATTCCACTAATACAATGAATAATGAAAAGATATAAAAGGGAATAAGCAAGATGTATTGGAATTGTAAAGAAGGAATAGATGTCATTTCCCAAACTGATGATTTATTATATAGTATCTAACTGTATTTATTATTCCTTTTATTTTTATATTTATAATATCTGGGCATAAGGTTTTAGGTAGATAAAAAAAAATTTGTAATTTTTTAATAATTTAAATTTGGTTCGTAATTAAAATAGATCTATTAAAATTTGGTTACTTATAATTAAAAAAAAAAATATTATCATTTATTGAACATATTATATATTTTTTTCCTTCCCTAGTACACCAAATTCACAGATTATATTAATTGAGAACACAAGAGTCAGGAACATAAGAGTCAAGTGGATCACGCAATGAACTCTTTTTATTCTGACATTCTTGAAAATTCTTCGCCGACTTTGGTAACAAATGTAAATGGACGCATTCTCTATGTCAATAGACCTGCATTATGTTTATTGGAGAGATATCGTCCTTCCAAGAGACAAAATTCAAATAATGTTAATGATAATCCAGATCCAAATTCTTTTATAGGTAGTCATTATACATCATTACTTGAACCTCTAGATTTATACGAAGATACATCATTGCGTAATCATTTAATGAACAATGTACAGATATTAAGTAAACGTACTTATGTTTGTCGGACAATTAAATGTCGAACATTTATAAGCAAAAGGCCTATTATGCTCGAGTTTTCAACGCGTACATGTACGTTTCCGGGATTCTCTACAGATAATAATGGTATGGAAGAAAAAAATTTTACGATACACCCTTCACCAACCGAAGTATATTCAAGAAATTCTTCTATTCTTGGGAAGGAACATATTGAAACAAGAAGCGGTGAAAATGGAGATGAGGGGGGTGATGATGATGATGATGAGCATGAACAATTTTATGATGCTATAGAGTATACAGATGATGATAATTTGAAGTATAATTTAGACCGATCCGGCAACAATTGTCAAAATGTGGATGACAATAATAATTTATATCAAGAGAATTTATTAAATAAAACGAACTTGGCAATTTCGGATAGTCGAGTTGTTGATTCGGTCTTTGTAGCTGAAAGCGTAAAAAATTTGATATTAATTAGTACGATTCGAGATGTAACTGACTCAAAATTCCAGGAATTCGTACTAAATGAAGCCGATAATCGTATATCAATTACATATGATGTGACCGGAATTATCAGAGAGATTTCTAGATCTTGTAAATCGATATTTGGTTTCGAAACAGATGAATTACTTGGGACTGACGGTTACTCCTATATTCATCCTGATGATATAACTGAAGTTCGAACTTACCTTGCTAAATGGACTGTCGAAAATGGTAGTACTACTTTACAAAGGCAGGCTTTTCGTCATCGGAAAAAAGATGGAAGTTATTGTTTATTGGAGATATGGACTCAAGGTCTTCAACCCGATGGTGCTTGGTCATTTGTAGGTTTCGATATAACAGATGCTTCTGATCATCTGGTGGATAATCGTACATTTATCCGTAAACTATTGCCAAAAAATGTCGAAGGAGAGTCTCGTGATAAAGAAGCAAATAATTTTGTTTCCTTCATTTGCCACGGTATGTAAGATATTTTGAATTCTGCAGTTCTCGTGATTTATCTTCCTCCCCCAAAAAGAAGGAAAAACCCTCCATATATATATTTTGACAATAAACATTATATATGAGATTTTCTCATTTTTGATATCAAAATCCCTAAAAACTGTCAATGTAATTGTTTTTATTAAAAAATTATTTTTTTTTTTCCCCCTTTTTTTTAGAACTTCGCAATCCATTGAACGGGATAATTGGCTTCACAACTTTATTACTGGACACTGCACTCTCAAAAGAACAGCGCGAATATGCCGAAGCTATTTCAACAATAAGCAGTTATATGTGTAATATCATTAACCAATCACTTGATTTATGTCAAACCCAATCTCATGGTACAACAACTTCAGATATTGGACCTTTAAGATTGAGGGAGGTAGTCGAATTTGGTTTCTTAACTGTCACTGCATTGGCTAAAACAAATGGGACAGAGCTTTATTTACAAGACGATTTAGCGACTTTGCAAATAGCTGGTCAAAAATATCAAATAAATAACGACGGTATTAACATCGAGATTTTATCTCGAGTAAAAGATTTAGAAAACAAATGGTATGGAGATGAAGACACCGTGCGTAAAATTTTATTGAATTATTTAACAAATGCAATCAAACATACCGGATCCGGAAAAGTGACAGTACGTCTTGAGGTCGCATCTGATAAATTACCGGATGGTAAGGAAGGATTTATGGCTAGATGTTCAGTTGAAGACGACGGTCCTGGAATTCCGCAAAAAGACCTTAAACGTCTTTTCTTACCATATTCAAAACTAGTTTCATCATTTGGTGAAATGAAAAGTCGCAATGAGGGGAATATTGATGGTTCGAGGTCACCTAACCATCAGCAATCACATAGGTGTTCTGGTTTAGGTTTGAGTATTTGTAAAGAATTGGCTGATAAAATGGGTGGTAAAGTTGGAGTGGAAAGCGTATTTGGTAAAGGTAGCACTTTTTGGTTTACATTTCCCGTGTATACTGGCGTACCTGAAGTTGTTGAGGACGATTCCGATACCGGAGCTTCTTTTTGTGAAGAAACATATAGCGGAAATGAAGGTTCAGATAAGGGAATTTTTATAGATGATGCTAAAGACAATGTTTCTGAATATGGCCGGGAAAATTTATCAAAAAGACATCGGTCTCCTGTTAACAGTGTTATTTCAATAGATTCTTCATCATCGATATCTTCTGCGAATTATTCCAATTCACGTCCAAGTTCTATTTCAACTAATTCGAGTGACAGAAGAAATTTTGGAAGTCAACGGAGGCATAAGAAACCAACAAAGGTTCTTATGGTTGAGGATAATGAAATCAATCAACAAGTTGCGATAAAATATTTGGAAAAAATGGGTGAAGCAGTCACCGTAGCTGCAAATGGTATAGAAGCATTAGAGAAAATGAAAAAAGAGAATTTTGATATTCTTTTTGTTGATCTACAGATGCCTAATATGGTAAATTATTTATTAACTTTTATATTATATATTTTTGATTAAATTATTGTCACTTTCTTAATTTAATGTCTTATTTTTATTAATTATTATTAGGATGGGTATACATTGACTCGTCAGATTAGAGAAGCTGAACGTGAAGCTTGTGAATGTGATTCACAAGATTGTGAATTTCAAAACATATCATCACACGACGCTTCCACACCTCCGCTTACTCCACCAGGATCGTCATCAACATCAAAATCTTCATTCCATATAAACACGCAACCTTCGCCAATAATATCAAACGTTTCATATGCATCATCATCATCATCATCATCATCATCATCTTCTTCATCATCATCATCAACATTATCATCGTCGTCATCTTTAGAGTCCCCCACCTCATCCTGCCCGCATTCACAATTACCATCACCAATATCCTTGTCTAATTCTAATTTACATGCATCTTCAAGAAATTCCCGTTGTCTCGATCCATCGTCTCTTAAGCATCGACATCATAAACATATACCTATTGTAGCGTGTACTGGTAATGTGTTAGGAAAAGAAAAAGATAGGTGCATAAAACATGGTATGGATAGGTTTTTAAGTAAACCATATCGAATTGAAGAAATGAAATCGTGCATAGAAGAATTAGTAGAAAGTGATTATGAGTCGTCAGTCGGGGACGAGGATTTTACTAATCATAAAAGTGAAAGTAGTAGTGAAAGTTATAATTTTAAGTTACAAATTAACCATAATGATCGTGGTTATGAACCATTGTCTATAGCACTAATATAGGAATCAATATATGTTGTTTTTGATGTAAACGAAGAGACACTGGTCTAATTCATTGTTGCATATTAATTTTATTTAGAACAAGAGTGAGCGTAGGAAAAAAAATTTTCTTCATTTTTAAAAATGTTTCTTAACTGTTGATCAGCTTAGTTTACTCTTCTTGTAATTTTATTAACTTTTCACGTTATCCTTCATCTTTCCCTTACCTCCTTTTCCTTTCCCTTTCCCTTTCTTGTGTAAATTTTTATTAACTTTTCCTTTTTCATTTAATATAACATAAGTATGATATAATTATCTATATCTGTCAAAAATTCTCGCAGGTTCGGTATTAGATTAGAAAAAAAAGTTGTAATGTTATTTATGATTAGAGTCATATGGTTATATTTACTTAATTCTCTAATTAAAAAAAAATTATATAACTTTAAACATTTACCCCCAACGTTATGACGATTTAATGAATGTAACTTTAAAAATCTGGACTAGAAGAAATTTTTATTGAGCGCAACCTAACTTTATATGTTAACGAGAAAAAACTTGTGAGGTACTTTATAAATTTAAAACTACCATGATCAAATGTTTTCGTAATCATTTCGTTAACAGCATAAACAGAATATAAGTGTCAATCAAAAACTTTCAAAAATTTAAAAAATAAATAAAAAATCTGGATCATGTCTTCACCACGTTATGATACAAAATCTCATGTTTCACACATCGCTCAATCTTATACCGATGTTAAGGGTGAACAAAAACACGAATTAAATGATAAATATGTTCAACCTCTAAAAGAACCTTCTCCAAATTTACCTTTTGATCAGAAGTTGGCTATTGAAAAAGAAAGTCATAAACAAAAGGCTGATCGTGAAATTAAAGAAGCAGATGAGGAAGTTGTGAGGAAGAAGGATAATCAACAATCAAAGAAAATGCCTGCAAAAAAATGAAATTCATTCTTTGATTCTTTTGGGAGCGTTTTATTTTTTTTTTTTTTTTTTTTTTTTTGATTATAAAAAGTATTGGTGATTGAGGATGCGGATAATTTTTTTCCTTGTATGATTCTTTTTTGACAAATTTTTTTTTAAATAAAATCAAAATTCAAATTCAGAAATGAGTTGCTGCGGCGGCACATAATGATAAACTTAATAATCACATAAATAGAAACTATTACTTTTTTTTTGGAAATTTTGCATGATTGTAACTCGTTATATCCAATTATCAATGCAAGGGAAAAAAAATTTAATGTTATTTTCTGCTTCTTTTCTTCGAACTGTTGTTTAATTCTTTTCCTAATATGCTTTCCCGTATTATTATGATTATAACATTTTGGTTCTTTATAGAAAATGTTATTAGAATTGACGCGACGATAAGTACGACTTCAAAAAATCATCAATTTAATGAGTCTATAAATACCTTTGATCATAATGAAATATCAAAAAATATTTTAATTGGTTCTTTCATTGGAGGTAAAATTGAATTAAGAAATAATTAAAATAAATAATATAATTTATTTATATATAAATAACAAAGATCAAATGTCTGTAATATCAGGATGGAATCAACTTCGACCTTTAATAGAAATTTGTAAGATATTAGTGAATCGTGGATATAATGTGAGCAGGAAAAAAAAATAAATCACGTTTATTATTTGATCTTTCTCAATTAACTCCTCTCTCTTATCCAAAAGGTGACATTGATCTCACCAGGAAAATATTCATCGCCATCATCAGATTACCCGATAATCCATCATATTTCTTCGGGACCTTCATTCGATTTAAGTAATATACCGGAATACCGAGAAATCCTTTCAGAAGAATATAGTATTAAAATGTTTGGCAGTTTAAAAAATTATTTAAATTCAAAATATTTAAATGATTTTAATTTATATAAAAAATTGGCTAACGAAACGATTAAGGTTGATTTGTTTTTTTGTGATTTGTTCTTAAATGAAGCATGCATTGACGTTGCTTGGTTAATGAACAAACCCTTGGTCACCATGTCATCTAAATTATGTAAGTAACATAAATTTATTTATAATTTATTCTTCTTAAAAAAAGAGAGAGTACAAAATTATTAAGATCGATCTTTCTATTGGAAAAAAAAAAAAAAACAAAGCGATGACATATGTCCCCTACAAATCCGATCCAATGATGGGATGTCATGTAAATATGGAACGAGAAACATTTCTGGAGAGGTTCCGATGTGCGGTCATAGCACCTATTCAAATGAATTATGTCCTCTCACCTCACACAAAAAGGTTAAATGAATTAAGAAAAAGTATAGACATTTCAAATTCCAAATCTTTTGAAAAATTACAAAATTCTTTATTTCTTGCTGATACATTTTTTGGTTTCGAGGTATGAACGTGAAAATTTTAAGGTGCTTGAATTTTTGCTATACCTTTATTTATCAACTCAATTTATATAATCATCAAGACTCCGCATCAAACTCCACCACTTTACCAGGTGAGTTAGTTTCCTTTTACTTTTTTTTTTTAAAAAAAAATTATCTTTTATTTTATTTTATAAACAAATTTTTTTTTTTAAAAAAAAAATTAGGAAATTGGACCAATCATGTCGGATAATTATCCACCTTTAACACAGAACCTTTATAATTTCATTGCTTTACACAGGAGAATAATATATGTCAATTTTGGCACTCAAATCTGCACGACATACAAGACCAATGTAATCCTCCTTCAAGCGATTATCGAAGCGATAAACAATAATATAACAGATGGAATAATTTGGACACTTGAAAAATCATCGTCAAAAGTGTTATTCCCATCTACAATAACATTGTCAGATAACAAAACTATTATAAATACTTCAAGTCATCCGAGCATTCACATCATAGAATATTCCCCACAATTTGCAATATTAAATCATACAAATGTTAAAATACATTTAACACATGGGGGAATAGGAAGCATTTATGAATCGTTGTATACGGGAACACCAATGTTATTATTACCTATCGCGTTTGATCAATTAGGAAATTCCGAAAAATTATTAGAAAATGGTGTTGGATTATTACTTTCAAAAGGTTCACTTGATGTTCAAGATATTATAAAAAAGATTAAAACGTTACAAAAAGACGAAGACATACTCGTGAATGTAGAAAGGATGAAAAATCTGGTCATCATGAATAGCAAAAGAAAATTTAGGGCAGCAGATTTGATTGAATTTGTTTTATTTTCAAATCATTTAAATTCAATGATAGAACTTCAGGAAAATAGTTTTAAAGATGATTTAAAAGTATGGAGGATTACACCAGAAACGAGATTAGGATTTAAATATTTGGACGTTTACGTTTCTCTTTTGGTGGGATGTTTAATGTTTATTGTGATAATAATTTGGTTAATTTGTGAGGCTTGTAAATCAATATTTGGAAATTTAATCTCGGTTGTTACGGGTCATAAAATGACTTTTACTTAAAATATATTTGGTAATTTTTTTTTGATTAAAAATTAATTTGAAAATCGTAATTAGATTTGTGAAACATCATTCGGATAAAAGTTAAAAATATAAAAAAGATCTGGTATAAATACTAACACTAACCATGTATCATGTGGGTACAAAACCTTAATGATATTAAAATGTATATTACACATGTCTAAATCATAATGTCACCTTTTAAATAATTTTTTTTTTAGATAATTTTGGACGAAGATCCTGATGAAATTTAATTCGAATTATTGTGAAACCATTTTTGCATTTACATTATGATCAAGGAAATGGAAAAATTGAAAATTGAGGCTTAATGATTGATTGTCTGGTAATCGTACAACGATTGTTCCGGAATTTCTAAATTAATTTTGAGTTTTTATTTTTTTTATTGTATGATTCTATAATGAAGATAATTGACATCATTTACATAATCCGCGGAAAGTCCCGTAACCTCATAGAACGAATTTTCTATTAAAAAAAGAACTCAGCCCATTTATTTTTATACTAAACTATTAACAGAACGAGACATTTAATCATAAGTTCATGAGAAATAAAGAAAACCGTCTTGGCAAAAAAAAAATTCAGCCATAATTAAAATTTCTAGAAACCTTTTTTTTTTTAAATGAACCTTTTTCGAAATACAATGGTACAATAAATAGTATGGTAGTGTAAGATAAATAGTTACGTTACTCCTTGAGAACAAACATTTTGATCAACCTGGCCCCTTCTCGCATTTTTTTAACCCCTTATCACAGAAGTTTGTATTCTAACATTGTCTAATAAATACCACCTCAAACCGGGAACGTCCTTCAACTTTTTTTTTTTTTAACAAGAAAAAAGAAAATTTCATTATACTTATAATATATATATATATATTAAAAAAAAAAAAAAACATCATGTCTCGTTTTATAACTTGTTTGACGCTGCTTCTTGCTATTGTTACCTTGGCCTCTGCCCGTAAGTATCCTAAATAATTTTACTTGTGCTTAATGCGAAATAGTGTGTAAATATGTCATAACTAGTCAGTTACGTAATCGAAATCTAATTTCTTTTATTTTTATTAAACAAAATAAAATTTCAGAGGTCAAGACGATAAATACTCCAAATGGAGACATTACACAAGGAGCGAATGTTAAAATCACTTGGGAACTAATGGCACCAGTGAATACTTTAGGAAACTTACGAGCCATTAATAAAGCTACGCAAAGTTCAACTACAATATCAGATACTTTAGATCTGAATGCGTTATCACTTGACTGGGTGGTTAATGTAGACCCGGGTAATTATAACTTCGCCCTTAACGATGGAAGTGGAGATAAATATTCTGGTCCATTTAATGTAGTAGCACGTACGTCTCTCTTCTTTTTTTCTCTCTTTTTTTTTTTACTTGTTCTATTTTTAATTTTTATTTCAATTTTTAGCAAAAACACCTGCCCCTGCTCCTGCTGACGGCAAAGCTCCTGCTCCTGCTGACGGAAAAGCTCCTGCTCCTGCTGACGGAAAAGCTCCTGCTCCTGCCGATGGCAAAGCTCCAGCGGCTAAAGATCCAGCTAATAAAACACCCAATAAAACACCCGCTGCTGAACCAAGTCAACCTCCAAAAGCCCCGGCGGAACCAAATGAACCAAAAAATCCAAAGTAAGGATTCTTATAATCTGGATCATCAATTCGTTCGAACTTTATACCAGGATTTATCTAATCTAATTTAATTCATTAATCCAGGGTTTCAAATCAAGAAGCAACAACTCCTCCAAACTCGTCTGGAAATTCCGTTACCTTGGTTTATGATCTTTTATTGAGTCTTATCGGTGTGGCTACTCTTATGACATATTCCGCCTAAATATGATGTAATTTTTCAAAAAGGGAAGATGCTTACATTGCTGAATAATACTGTAGAGAAATTTTTTAACTTTGCAGCCAATTTTGTAAATGAACACTTCCTCTTCCTTCACAATTAGATATTTAATTATATAATATAATATTAATTTTCGTTTTCGAACTTAATAAACTTGATAAACATTATTTATCCTTATACGGAAAGCTCGTCTACATGGAAAAGCATTTTCTCTTTATTATTTGAATTTCCTCAATTATGATAAAGAATTACATCTTGAACTAATGAATCAAAATCTCATCGACGACCTAAAAAGAGGGCATAATTAAAATGATTAAATATAATAAATTTGACACAATATATATATATATATCTTACCCAGTAGTTTAATCATTCCCACCAAATGTTGAATTCCAGATTCGGAGATGAATCCGATGACATTATAAACTCTTTAATCACCATTTTTTTCTCTTTACTATACTTTTCGATTAATCCCCTATAAACCACCCTATCCAGTTGATGATCCCCATGAAAATTAAGTCGAAATCTCTTCAACTCCACCCTGCAATTATCGAAAAAACCTACCAAGGAGCCATCAGATAATACCATATGAATAAATTCCAGAGTATCCAAGCTTTTAGGTAAAAACTTTGCCATTTCGACAGTGAATCCGAAATTTAGCATACGACATGATCTTGTCAATGACAACTTTTTCAGATTATCACATTTCCTTAGAATTGAGAATAAATGTGGAATATCTTGCTTTTCGATAATAAAAACGCTGAAACTAGAAAGGTTCTTGTTACAATTTTCCAATATACCTTTTAACATTTTATGATTATTTTCCCCTTCATGTTTGATACTAAGTACATTCAAATTGGACATCATGTTATGGTTATGCATAATTTTAATAAAAGGATTGATACCATTTGATATTCTAATCGTTCCATCCGAGTAATCAATAAAATCCAATTTCAAAGTCTTTAAATTTGGGAATGATGCTCGATTAAAGATTCTTAAATGTCGTAATTTCAAATTTACTTGAACTAAAGACAAGCTTTCCAATTTCTTGCATTTTAATAATGATTCAAATCCGAGATCATTTCCAATATTTGCATTTACAAGTTTAAGTTTCTTCAATGTATTTGCCTGAGTTTCTAAATTAGATATCACCCCAGAAATATTGCTCAATTTATCGATAATAAATCCCAAACTATCTCCTCTGATTGTTATCTGTTCAAGTTCGTTTTGTGATTTAATAAATCTCTCCAATGGTACCTGAAGATCATTGAGATTAAAATCGTTGATCCAAAGAACTTTCACATTTTTAGAAAGTAATGCCAAACATGAAAGGATATTATTTTTATAAATGCATCCACTGAGTTCAACATATTTCAATTTATGAAAAGATTTCTTTCGATTTTCATGCGTCATAGCAAACAAACTTATGAAGAACGTGTCAAGTCTTGAGATGAACTGATCAACAGAATATTCATCCAAGCTACTATGAAAGATGGAGGTTGGCGCTTCTCTCTCAGGATTTTCTCCAAATAAATCATTTTCATCCAAACGAAGGACAATTCCTTCAATGATAGCTCCTCTTTTTACTATAATTCTTATGATGGTAAATACAAATCCAAAGACTTGATCAATTTCTGGGACTTCTGATAAGGAAACATTTAATCCTTTTTCGTTTTCATCCTCAGAAACTTCCTTCCCTTTTCCCTTTTCCGAGGTTATTTCATTTGAAAAATTGGAAGGATTAACTTCATTGTTAAATTTACTTTCCTTGTTTTTAACATAACCGGTAACAAGAAGAAATAGATTATGAAAATCTATATATGTGATAAAAGAAGGATAATCAAAGGACGTGTCCAATGGCAAAGAACGTTCCATATCATCATTCTGATCATAATCATCCATTTCATAATCCTCATGATCTTCATCTTCCTCCTCCTCATAATATTCATCAAAATCCACTTCGTCGAACTCTTCATCATCATAATCTTCTGACCAACAATCACAATCCACATGTTCATGAACATCACTGTCCATTTCAAGCTCCTCATCCTCATCCATATCCTTCTCGTTTACTTTTTCATTACCCTGTCCTTCATTTTCGTCCTTGTCATAATTTTCTAGCTCGGCTTCCTCGTCATCGATTTCCTTTACTATCTTGTCATAAGTTTCCCATATAAATCTCTTCATAAATTCCTTATCCTTTATGATGAATTTCAAAAGAAGAGGAACGATCTCGATGTGTTTTTTTAATTCAACATTGCTACGAAATGGATGTTTCCAAAGATACCTTATACCATTGCGACACCAATTACGATTTACCAGTACTATCGAAAACAATGTTTTTATGTCGTTAATATTATTAAAGATTTCTTGTAAAATTTCGTTTGGAAAAGTTGACATTTTTGATCAAAAAAAAAAAAATTAGTGAAAGATGAGATGGAGATTGGGAGAAGTTAAATTGACATGCTCAAGTTCCCGATTCGGTTACTTTAAGGAGGCATGATCTTCTAAATAGCGCCCCTTAGAAAAATCTATCTGGGATCCAAACGCGAAAACAACACGCCTTGATCTTATTAGATGTCACGTGAACGGCAATATATATTGATTTTTTTCTCTTTTCTTTTTTTTTTTTTGAATTAGCACATAATTTATGTAGCTTAAGTTATTGTAAACGACTCTACTACTCTTCCAAAGGTATCCTCCTTTCATTTCGAATGTATTTCCTCATATTTGAGGACAAGATATGTATTTTACCTTGGATACAAGTTTTCGGAATATCGGGAGGAAAAAATACCACGATATAGGTATTTACTTCTTCATTTGGTCATTAAATTCATTAAATCGTCTATCGGTTAGATCAAATAATTTTTCGGATTCAAGATTATCATATATGTCGTATAAATTAGGTGGTTAAAAAATATTTTAAAAAGATTTAGAAAATTACTTCATATCACCGGTGGTGATCCAGTATTACCACCAAGTTTTTCACCCCCACGTGATCATAGAAATAATTTTCATAAGTATTCTGGGAACAGAGAATTTTTTGGGGTGTGAAATCATATTTGTCACATATTATTCGTAACTTGGTTAATTTCTTAATGCCGTAATGCCGGACAAGGCACGTGAAGAGTGAAAAACTTTGGTAGTAATACTGGGGTAGCTGGTGATCATCACTGATATCACGTGATTTTAGGTTATGAATAATTTGTCACATATGGGAGGTTTGCTATTAAAATCACGTTACAGATCATATGATTTACTATGTTCATAACTCAATTTTAATAGCAAATCTTCCATATTTAGAATCACATAATCACTATATTTTTTTAAAAATCTAAAATTTTCAATTCAAATTCGAAAAAAAATAATAGTAAAATTTTCAAACTTATCAATTATTTTTAAAATCCATCAAATTTGAAAGTTAGAGTAACATGACAATTATATAGTAATACAATTAGACCTTTATATAATCATCTCTTATACCTCTTATATAGTTATACCTCCTTATAAGCACTCCTTTTTATAAAACAGATTTTAATATTATTACTAGAAAATAATTTTAGAAACTATTATTAAGTTTAAAACACAAGTGTAATAAAAAAGATCAATATGTATCAACTTAAATTTTGAGCAAGCAGATAGTATAACATCTGTATTACTTTACATAGATATAAATAGTTTTTCACTTTACTTTGAACTAAAAATAGCTTTATATAATCACAAATAGATTATACTTATTATCATATTATACTTATAATATACCGTAGAGCGTTGACCAAACCACCCCTTCTATGCAAAATACCCTTCTAAGGTTTTGGGCTGAAATTTTATAAAAGACCTGAGTAGTTTAAATAAGGGGTTTTTTTAGTCGAAAAATAGTTGTAAAATTAAATAAATCATGTGATTAATATACCGTTATGATATTTATTTATCAAATACACATTTTATTAATTCAAAAATAAAACTTTATTATTTATTCAAACATTAGCAA